TATTGATGCTCTGAACTTCCATATCAATGCATTTTTTGCACCATGTTTTTTTTGTTTGTTTGTTTCGTTTACAACCATTCATAAGAAATAAACCTAAAGGAGACACTTTAGTAACAGACATGTGGAAACCCCTACTTGACTTAAGGTCTGAACAACATTACTGTCAAAGGCTCAGGCAAAAAAGTTTATAAAATGTTATTATAAAACAAAACTGCTTCATCAGGAAACTTAAGTATACTGACCAAAATATTTATTTTACACATTAAATCAGAAGCAGAAAACAGTGTTGCATTGTCATGGTAAAAGTAGGATTAACTATTTTAAACAAAGACCAGATATGTATAAAGCTATCATTAAAACTGTCTTTAGCATCACATATAAAATACTAGCTTGGTTAGAACTACTTAAACACCAAAATCTTAGTCTGAGTATATTGAATATTGGCTTAAGTCTGAGGTTTTCTGTTTTCATATTCCAGTTAAGGATGAATGGAATACTAAATTAGTGGATTTTTATAAGTATAATATTTTATAGATAAATAAGTGGAATGGAGTTGAGTTTTAATGTCTGTCATTTTTTGACATTTAGAAGAGTGAAAAATTGCAGATATGGAGTGTGAGCGTGTAAGGACACCGAGATGTGTGAGTCTCACCCAATGGGTGAGAGTTGACAGCCCTGAAGATTATCATAGTAATGCAATAGTTTTAGATAACCTGGCATAAAACCAGATTGATATGTGTTATTTATTCTTAATTGCGAATAGATCCTCCCATGGAAAGTGTAATGACTCAAAACAGAGGGACCCAGTATTCAGGAAAGACAGACAGTGGGATAACTTAAAAAGCATTTATTAAAGCAACAACAGATCAGAGTTGCAGCGGCTAGGTCCTCTGAGGCAGGTAATTCTGGTGAGGGGAAATACAGATAAGTGACCGCAAAAATCTGAAGGAGGATGATCTGAACATGTGAGTCACTAACCTGGTTTAGAGTTCACTCTGTGCCCAGAGAACGAGGTTGATAGCAGCCGGTCAGCTGACAAGATGCAGAGCTTGCTGCACAGAGAGTTCCAGACGCCGAAGCCTTGAAGGACACAGAACTTTCAGTAGATAAGATCTGAGCAGATGACTGAAGGAAGGCAGCACAATCCAGAGGGTGAAGTCGAGGGGCAGATGCAGGTTTAGTCCACAGTAGAATCCAACAGAATCCTAAGACAGGTAAACAGATCAGAACAGGGGCAGGCAGGCTCAAAGGTCCAAAGACAGAAACAGGTCAGGATCAGGCAATGAGAACATTATAAGTAAAGCTAAAAAAACCTTCACACCAAAGGCTCAAAAATAATCCAGAGCTGACAACTGGGAGCAAGCACCTTAAATAGAGGCAGAAGCATGTGGATCAAGTGAACAGTGATGAGAAAACCGGGCAGAATTGAACTTGTAAACCTGGCTTACCAATTCAGTCCGTAGCAAGAGAACACGGTAGGATCCAGCTGGTGAGTTTCCAACACGATGAGGCGGGTGTCATCCAGAGTGTCCCAGATATTGCAACCCGAAGAACAAGCAGGAGACCGAAGACAGGTCAGCCAAAGAGATCAGAACAGGAACAGGCAGGCTCAGAGTTCCAGCATTAGGATCAGCTGTGCAGTGATGAGAAACCAGGCAGAGTTAGACAGGTGAATGGAATGAGTGATTAAGCCAGTCATCAGTCCCAAGATCATGACACAATTGCCTTTCTTTATTTTAATGAGTTGCCATTTTTTTCTTTTCCTATCCATGGCCCTAATCCTCTATCATATGTTTTTTCACATGTGATGGAATTACTGATGTCCTTTGGGTTTCTAGTGTTTTGGCCAGCTGTCTATGGTATTTAAAGCTGAAACCTGTAAATTCCTGGTCAAAACAGGAAGCCTTTTTATACAATTTTTTCTTGTTTTTATTGTTATTAAACTGCCACAAGTACAGAGCAACAAAATGAACTCTCTGCATTTAACCAATTCCCTTGGGAAGCAGTGGGCTGCCATTGAGCGGTGTCTGGGGAGCAGTGTGGGGTTAAGGATCTCTTCTCCGAACAAACTTCCAAACTATTTTTGGTATTGTTTTTTTTTTTTTTTTAAGTAGTGGACAGGGAACTTGAAAATAACTGATATAACATCAGTTTGGTAGAGAGACATACAAATATGCATAAAAGAGGAAAAAGAAAGAACTATAGCATACAATAATTGAATATTATTGATCTCACATTGGAGAAATTTACCTCTGCATTCAACCCATCCCCTTGGGGAGCAGTGGGCTGCCATTGTGCAGCGCACGGGGAGCAGTTTGGAGTTAAGGGTTTTGCTCAGGGATCCAGAGTGGCAGTCTGTGGGAGTGGGGCTTGAACTTACAACCTCTGGAATCCAAGCGCAATGCCCTAATCACAAGTCCACAACTCCCCTAAATTATATGATATGCAGTCATTCATTTAATCAATTTAACCTAATCTAGCCCAACTCCTTTGCTGTTGCGAAGGACGTCAGTCATCTGGTCTCTAGCCTGTCACAGGAGCCTACGCTGGGATTAAAAATCAAATGTGGAAAAAAAAGAAGAAGGTATTCTTGTGCAATTTTTTTGTTATCCTTTTAACCACATCTGATGCTTAATTTTTTTTTCTTTTAAACTTTTCAACATTCATTGTAGTTTTAATTCAGAGAATAAGACCTGACCTAAGATTATTTCAAATAAAGTATCGTAAGAGAAAAAAAATATTAAAAGTGATATTTGGCATATTTCTTTTCAAAGAGATGATTAGCCTGATGACAGTTTGTTTCCCAGAACTTCATCACAAGATGAATAACCACAAAACAAAAGAACTGAACAGAAAGTGAGCAGCAGCATCCTTCAATGAGGATTTTATTGAAATTATGTTATTTGCTGTTTCTCTTACAGATGAATTCATTCAGAAACACAAAAGTCAGCTTAGTTGAAAAGCTGAGAATTCCAGCATTTGTATGTGCTGTGTTCTTCTGTCTCATGGATCTTTTACAGGAACAAGATGTAAAAGTCGAGAAATGCTCTCATTATATTGAATTCTCAAATGGAAGACAAAGATTTTCAAGTGTCTTAAAAAAAAGAGAACTATGACAACACAGACAACTTTTTGTTTGAAATGGGAAAACAAAAAGAATGCCTTCAAATTGTGCATTTCATTAGTGTAAAGTGTGTTGCTCAGAAAAGAGCTTGTTATAAATTATTTTGAGGTTTTCTTGTCCCCTGAGCTTGAAAAAACCAGCTGGCATGAGACACAGAAGAGACAATTAGAGCAGAGCTGGGTGAAAATGTTAATGCAGTCCTATCCAAATAAGTCTTAAGTTCAGATTCACTGTCTTGTCTTTTTCTTCAGAAAATCACACATCCCCAAACTCAGATCTCTGGATAGATATGATTCCTGTACATCCCAGTCAAGTGGAACAAACAAAATGTAATTTTAAAATGTAAAATATAGAAACAATTCAAAATACAGTGGGAACATCTGACACGGGTCGACCCGCTAATTTACGTGATACCGTTAAGCACAACGAACATACATTAACACACCGCACCAGTCGTGTCTGATCTAACAAGCCAGAACAGCTCTGCTTACAGTCGATAAACGTGGTCATTCAGGGATTCAGAGAGACAAAAGAACGAAACACTTACTACGCGCTGGCTCACTTCCAAGTTGCCCTTTCCTACTTTCCTGATTTCTGTTGCATTGGTGACATCATCAACGCTAACCTAGTGTGATAGTGTCACCATACATGCAGCAGTAAGAGGAAACAGGACATGCAGCTTACCAGCAGTAGGTCAGACCCCGTTTTTTTTTTTGCCAATGGGAAGGGACCCAAGTGCCGATTCTTAGCAGGTCGACCAGTGTTTGAAAAACCCGTGTTCACCCACTATTTTCAGTGGGAAAGAGGCTTTAGTAAAGGATAAGCTAATATTGAAAATGGATGGATGGAAAAATTACACAGCATACAATCAAATGAAGATGTAATTGTTGTTAAGTAATTCAATAGTTTAAAGATTATTCCTGAAAAAAACAAAAGCGTACAATACTTATATATATAGACAATCCAGTGCAGAGGTTCTACTTTAAGGCTTCATAGATGTATCTCTTGTCCAACTTTGAAAGATTGCAATTGAACCCTTTTCTTACCATAAGTAGCCATGTGGACAATCTGCAATATGTTATGGTAAGAAAAGGTTTATTATTCTAAACTGTACTTTTAAATACCTCTACATCATGGATTTGCTGTCAATCTAAGCAATTTTGCTCCAAAAGAAAGATAGTTTAATAGGTGTCAAACTTGAATAATTAATTAATCAAATATGTTTTTCTTTAGAGTTTTAGAGATAAATGTAGGAATTGAAGTTAGTTTTAAAAAGGGCATAATGATGAGGACAGAGTCACTCAGACAGAGCAGCAGACAGCATGATGGTGAGCCACATGCAGGGATTATTAGAGACTCATCACAGGGATTTGGTTGGAATGTTGAGGTCTGACACACCAGACTGTGCTCCCACTGTGGCTTAGTGTCACTGTTCTTTTACTTCCTCCAATCTTTTTTAATAGATATGCTTCAACTGTATCAGCCCTCATAAATATCTGTCACATCATTCATTCTCCTTTCATTTTTCTGTCTCACTCTTGCGCATGGTTCCCAGCTTACCTCACCAAGCTCAAACATCGATGTGTTCAGTGGGTGATACGGTTGCGGCACGATCCAATTTTTATAGATTTTCCACCTGGATGCTGCAGCAGAAAAAGAAAAGCCCATGTTTTCTTCCAAGTGGCTAGAAACCATGAAAACAGCTTTCTTTTTTCCAGATGAAGAAGTGGCATCAAAAAACTATATTTACGCTCAGACATTTACCCACATACCCCACAACAAATTACACCCTGAATGAAATCAATGATAGCAGCAACAAAAGCATCTCAAAGTTTTGCAACCACTTGATCTGACTCTGTCTCCATCTTCTCTGCAGATCAGAGTTTGATCTGGACTATGACAGCTACCACGAAGACTACTATGACAGGTACTGTCAGAAATTGTGACTTTTTACACAGCTCACTGCATGATCGTGAGTCCCATAATGGTAGAAGTGTTTTACTCTTGATTGTTGTCTGCCTTTATGTTGTCCTTTCTATTTTTATTTAGTATGACCTTTTGTGCCTCACAAGCTCACTTCAGATATTACTGAAAAACAAACTCTTGTTCTTCCCTGCTCCCTGAATGATGTCTGTAAAATGTTCGAAATAGCAGGGACAGTCTAATTAGGGTGTTTGAATATGCATATGAATATGTATCATATGCTGTTCACCAGAACATGCAAAATACTGGGTAGAGGATATGCAAATGTAATCATTTACCCCCTGCAATGCGATTTATCAAAACAGGAATAACCTGCTGGCACTTTTGAAAGCAAACTTACAGTAAAGGCAAGAATCGTGCAATCAGTGTAAGGTCCGATGACAGATGATAAGCCCTGTAAAAATGTCAACATATTTGTACAGTCAGAAATTAAGATAGAAGAGACATATAATCTATCAAGGGCAGACTTAGAGCTGATCCGAGATCTCTTATGGAAAGACTCCTTGCAACACTCAATCTTCTTGTATTTGGATGGACCGTTCATTCAGATGTAAGATGATGTGACTGGGGTTATTTTGTGATGTTGATTCGAGAAATGGAAACAATGACCTTGACCGGTTGAGACAGATGGAATATACCAGATGCCAGATGTTAATCTACTGTATTTTGGCCTCTAAGACATCTTAGTTAATAAGTCCTGTTGATCTTTTTCTTTTAACACAAACCTAGAAGGCACTATCTCCTCTCCACTGCCTGCATCTTGTCCACATCATACCTGCCAAGTGTGCATAGTGCTTTTACAGATTGATACTGCCTCTGGAAGGTAAATAATAAAACCTGTTCTATTCTCCTAAATTTTTTCATGGTTGCACCTTGTAGCACACACAAAATGCTCCTCTAAATAGGGCAGTCTGCGGCAGTTTTGCATCATTCAAAATTGTGCACAAAATCAAAATTTGCAGGTGAAGTTAAGTATTTATTACTTATTTTTGGGCTCTAGCCCTAAATTTACTCTTCGTGTGGCTCCACCCTGCGGCAAACTTCTACTCCCCTCCAATTTACAGTGCAGTGGAAGTCAACAGTGGCTTCAAAGAGAATATGCAATAAAAGCCAGTGATAATGTGGAAACCATACTGAAAATAAATGTTACAATGCTTGCAATTGTTTCTTTTGCTTTTTTGGGCATCCAGATATTTTCAGAGGTTATACTCTAAAATAGGGAAAGAATCTAACAAGCCAAGACAAGAAGCAAAGAGGCTATATCTGTTGCTAATATTAGTGCATGAAAAGTGCAATAATGTTTTGAAAGAGAAAGGGGAAACACTCAGATTAGCTCAAAATTGTTCATGCACTACTTCAGGAATGTGCAGGGCTCTCTATTTTTTTAACATTTGGTTTTGTAATTTGTTGCTTTGGAAGTTTAAGTACATATATGAATACAGAAGTCTTGCATAAACATTATTTCCATGAAACTTCTTTTAAGCCGAAAGTGTATGAGAAGGAATTAAGTTCATACACTGTAAGTTGAAATCTTAAAGAATACACATACAGTAATACAAAACTTATATTGCCCCCAAGCAACCCC